GCACTCGCCTCTTTGTGGGGAAGTAAGAGAATGATAAACAGGTGAAGAGAAACTAAGGAAAATCCCCTGTGTGAGTTCCCCCACTTAGCCCCCTTATCCTACCCCTTGTACTACCTTTTTTGAAGTAGATTATTAAAATTACCTCGAAAAGGCAGGGAATCACACCATCAGTAGTGGCTAGATCGCATATACAGGGATCTTCTGGAAGGCCAGTTTCCCAGATTGCAATGAGGATCAAGACGATGAAATGGTTTTCCATTGATCAGATGCAAATCGAACGCACAGTAAAATCAAGGAGAGCCACGTTGCTTATCCGGAGTTCCTCATGAAGCGACCTTTTGTCAAGCATCCATGGAAACGCATACATAATTCCTGGCTCCTATCGGTTGAGAAACATTGGCAACTGGGAAGAGGGACAGCAAAAAGGGCTATATGTAAGGGAAATAGTTCACTGCTCCTCAATGATTCCGTTTTGTATAGCTCTATTTGTGCATTTCCGAAGCGCTTATCTTTGGGTTTTACGTTTGATAAGTGCACTCCACTGTATCTTATTCTAACATGGAGTAGCCGTAGCTCTAAGATGAGGAGCTCATCTTATTGTCAGAGCCGGGCGAGGGTGTAGGATGAATAACATAAATGAAAATTTCTCGATTTGGACGTCATTGTCTAAAAATCAGACCTCCGAGAAGAAGATAATGAAATTCTCTGGTAGAAGTGCTCTTCAGGGAATTTAATGGTACCGCAATGGGCTGACCATTTTATTTCAAATCATTTTGACCGTTTTAATTCCGGATCTCTTCCGTGTTGATTACAAAGGCTGGAATAAGATTGGCACGGTCTTCAGTCTGGAGAAACGATTTGTAAGAAGATTCGGACAAAATTTGCAAAACCTATCTCCTCTAATTAGTAACGTGGTAACTCGTCCGGTCCCTCAATATATTCCAACTAATTAGTGAAAATTCCGTCCGAAGGTTGTTTTGAATCGCTTCTTGAACAGGTAAGTCAAGTGGAATCTCACGGAGACATAAGAAATGTTCGAGGTTCTCTATGAAAGGGAAACGTGATCATGGTAACCCAAGCAATAACTCTTTATATCCGATATAAATAATGTATAAAAATAGCTTTGGCTTCTATCACACTTATAGTATAGTCTAGCTGATGCAATAATCGATATAGATCTTAAGCATAGAAAATATTTGAATAACACAGCTAATAAGTGAAGTTATTGGAGCACAGGTGCAGAAACAATCCTCCAAATTACCGGTCAGAAGCGAATATTTCAATACATTTCATAAGAAAGCAACGTTAATGGCTAGATATAAACGAGACGATACTGTATTCTATCTAGTTGTAATCAAGACGACATCTATGCCTTCTGGATGTCATATGGCCACGATCACCTAATGCCATCCCCAGCTGTTGGCCATGTACGACGAAGTTGGAGGCGCTTGGGATAGATAACCTCCTGTTGTTGGCAAGTAGCCCGTTGAGCATGGCAAATAGCTGAAATTATCGATAAAATCAGGTCGCCTTTCCTTTATCGTATGGGAGAAGGAACAGACCTCGCCCCACTTCCTCCAAATGCTACAGCAGCAGCTGCAGCCTGATATGGTCCGGAGGATATTTCTGGCGGACACGGTTTACCATCTCTTACCAACATCTGAATCGGCATTCGGAAACTGAAACGAACAGTATAAATTTGTGTCCCGTTATAGACTTCCAACAAAATTTTTTCAAGTATACCTGTACGCTACAAACCTGTATATTACCTGTAAGTTGAACAATCATGATGATTACCTTCGAAGCTTTCCCACTAATCCCATTTCTTACCCGCCCTCCCCCACCGCTCCCCTTCCCCGTCCCCTCCCTCCTTCAACCTGAGCGTCGCTTCAGCCTTTCAGAATAGGTCGTAGAAGGGTGCTGAGCTGTGCATTTTGAAATACCTTTGGTTCGGCATTCAGGTCAGGAATCCCAGGTTGAACTTGACTTAATCGCAACCTTGAGCATCGTGGTAAACGCAATCTTTTACCTGCGCAGGTAATTACTGTGTTCCCAACTGAAGTTTTTTTTTCGCAGAGCTTTTGAAGGGTATAGCCTATTGCTGATGCTGGTTATATTGACTTCTCATTCCCATTCCATAACAACTCTCTAATAAACATGATCTCATGAAATTAAGTTCACTGAAAGCTTCTGGACCTTCCTAAACGCTATGAAATCAAATTGCTTTCCATAATGCTACAGCTTCTGAGGAGCGATCGGTGTGGATTGAACATCCCCTGGCTCTGTATGGCTTCCCATGTATCCCGAGATTTCGAATAGAGCGAAATAAAAAAGGATTGAAAGGTACCTTCGTGTAGCAAAAGCGGTAGTAGCGGGCGTGAATGATGGTGATGAGCTGAGAAGGCCAGGGTTGAGGCCCTTTTCTTGGATGGTCTTCTTCGTCTTGTATCTGTAACTAATGAGGCATTCATCACCTGGCTCTTGAAATGAGATCAAAGGGGCAAGTCCGAGAAAGGCCCGAAAATCTTTGTACACAGGACCTCCTTGAAGATGAAGGCATTTGGACTAAATTACAGATCAGATAAATGTAATCAAAACATGCATCGGTGAACCATCATTGAATAATGAACAGGCATAGTCCTAGTTCCTGCTAATATAATGCGTGTTGGAGATAATCTTTTGCCACTATTATGTTTTTGAGATCGCCTAATGATCCATTTCCTCTCTGTTTCAACTCCCGGCATGGAAGAAAGGTAGAAAACTGCCTTTCTTCGGATGAGAATCACCTGGTGATTGGTGGTAACCGAAAAACTGTTTTGGTTGCCCTTAAAGTTTTTCTATGAGAAGATATTCTAGATTCCAGAACTCACCGATGATTTTGAAACCATATTTTGACTTGAGTAGGTGTGAGTCGAATTTGCATGGCAAGCTGTTCGCGTTCAGGTGCACTCAGATATCTGGAAACATTCAGGTCTATCATACAGACACAAAAACGTTGGCAAATGTACCAAGTAATAGTTTAGTATTTCCACTCTGTTTTTAAAGCTCTTCAACGTAATTCAAAAGACGTGGTTGAGGTGGTGTAATGGCAAGCGGTGCACTACCGCACACCATGGCTCGAGGGTCGAGCCCTGGATCGTTATCAAGTTAGGCCATTCAAGCTTTTCATCCCTACAAGGTCGAATAACTGGTACCAGACACGTCTAGGAAGAAAAATGCTGATTTGTACATTTGGCTTCCACAAATCATTGCACAGCTCACATACGCACTCAAGCGGCCACTACGATTCTGAATGGATGTCGAATGCAGAGCGCAACCTAAAGGCGAGATTGTTGAGCGTCAAAAGGCTTTATCCTCCAACTGTCATTCAATGAACAGAGCTGACATTGACGCCTTCTGTATCTCCCAAAGTATCTTCTACTCTTTGAAAAAATCATGCGCCTGGTTATGGAGGAACGTGGGTCTAAGGAGAAGAAACTCGTCCAATCATCTCACATCCTCAGATCGCCTCAAGGGATCTACAAAGGATTCCGGTGAGTCGATTTCCAAGTTCAATCGGAATCTACAATGGGTACCACCCTTTCCCTCAAAATTTCTGTACTACTTGAAAGTAAACGTGTAATCCTGCTAGTTCTCTCACCACACCAGACGCTTAAGAGAAATCCTTCAAAAAAGCCGACCATGGGTTTTGTTTGCTGATGTTACCGTAACCGAAAGAATCAGTGGGCCTCATCGAACAAACACGTGTCGACAAAGTGCACTTTCGTACATTAACAAACATCCGAGGAAAGCAGACATTGTGCAATGTCAGAGGGCTTTGAAATCCCGCTCCAACGTCATACATTTATTTGAAAATAAATTTTTAAAAAGTTGAAAAGCTTTTATATCACAGATTCTCCAGTGCAAAACGGTTTTTGAATACGACTTGCATTACTGCCTTCATTACTAGTATTTAATCACCGTTACTTCACTTATGGGCGTTAAGCGGACGCGCGGAGGGGGGCCATTCCGATGGTCTGGCTTCCTCACTACATTCTCAACGAAAGGGATGCTTCGTGTCCTCCGAGCGAGAACGATCTGCTGGACTACTTTGACGCGCGGTAGGGACGAATGGAATGGTCCGAGGAAATCGAAAATCAACGGGACGTTACGATACGATGCGATATGTAGATGGAACAGTTTCTCGCAAGTAACTCAGTGGAAGCTTCAAACTCATGAGTTCATGTGGTCCACCTTAGATGATTTGCAAGGGGTTAAGGCCCTCCTGAGCTGATTCGAATTGTAAGATGATTTAATGCAAAGAGGTAATGTCCACGTGACCAACTGCATTTTTTGGACCTTCGCAATACCTCCTACCTACTCATACACTATCTATCAATATTTCGGAAGGTTCAATCAGAAAANAAAAGAATGAATTCTAGCCAATGTAGCTCATGCCAATACAATAGCGTCAGGCTCTGAATCCCGTCTCTGTTCCAGCTTGCTCCGCTTCGTTTCAAACTTGAATGAAAAGTCTTGAGTCTGTTGTAGAAGGAAGGTTTATTTAGGGAGTTTTAGCAGAGATTTCTCATTTCTATTTTGTTTCCTCGAAAATTTCCTTCAAAGAAGCTTTCTGAGTACGGTATTCGGCAGTGAAGTTCGTTGGGGCAACGATCAAGAATGAATCAGCAAGATTTCTTGTAGAAAAGAAAGGCTAGTCTTTTTTTCACTGTTGACATTAGTGAAGAGTCTGTAGTACGGCTAGAAGAAAAGCCCCCGCACTGTTTTTTGCCTTTTTCACCTTTTTTGGTTTTGTTTGAAGAGAGATCTGTCACCAACTCAAAAAGAAGTCCAGCACCATGTCGACGTTGGCTAAGCTGTCTTTTTGGAGCACCGTCAGCCTTTTCAATAACAATGTAATCAGAATGATAGAGGATAAAGTTTTCTGAGGCCCCGAGTCAATTTTTTGATCTTTGCTGTACCCCTGGGAGACGCCCACGCATTTGGACCCATCAGGAGCTTCTGCGCAATTTGGTTGTAAAATGACTAAGGGGAGTTACCCACGTTACTCATTTCATCTGGTGCGTTACTGAATCACCCGATCAGACAATATTTACCAATTCCGAACTTAAGGAGCCTTGGTATAGCCTGGTATCGATCGCACATGATTTCCTACCCACGCAATCGGTAACGACCACTATCCATCGCCGTCTGATTAAAACAGTATGAGGTGAACCACTTAGCAAAGACAATTTCCTTTTAGGGGGTTTATGGTAAATAATATAGCTCACAAAGACGTAGTCACACTTATAGTTCTACCAAGGCCCCCTAAGTTAGCAGAGGGTAGCTGGCACATTTCATTGGTGACCCGAGGCCACTGTTGGGCTTCACCCCTCCCCCTCTCTCGCCCCTTTTGAGGCAATTGTTAACTACGAAGAGAATATCACAGACAGGCAGGCTCTGCGTTACCCGCCGAGTCATCTCCTTAATGTGAGGTACATTAAAGAGGGTGAAAGCATCAGATTTGTGAGCGCGAGCGCATGTGAACTCACGTGCCACGAGATTTTGGTTTGAATCCGAGAACGTGATCTCGAAACGGGCCGAACTCAAAAGAAGGAAGGCAAACTATTTGCGCTGTATGGGCGGAATGCCCCATTGAAAATTTTGGAACCAAAATTCATAAACATAGTTGACAAACCTTTGCGTACGGAACCGTCGCTCCAATTCATACGTTTGACCTTTGGTGAACAGAACTCGTCGCTTACGCTTCTTACGCTTTCCTGTAAAAGATCCTTCGAATGAAAACACCCTTAAGTTCAGTCTTCCACCCCACACCAGAAAGGCCACTTACCGTTCCCATCGTATTCGTCGTCTCCATCCTCTTCGAGCGCGTCAGCTCCATCGTCTTCGTCTTCTGCTTTCGAACTGAAACACTTTTAAGATGGGTTACCCTTTTTGAGCTGATGCTTCAGTACTTACAAATGACTTGGACAGCAATGATGAGTGTCAGAAATATGAAAATTCGATTATTTTTATTCTTTACCCTGGTAACTCACCCATTCTTGTCATTGAGTTCGACATCTTTCTGTTCAGTATTGCCGTTACCCATTACCATGGGATCGGTTCGTTGAAAAGGATCCGCCGGTGGGAGGCCATACATCGAACTGCCTGTGGAGTGTTCGCTATAGTGATGACAAATCTCCAGTACTTCGATGTGAGCACCTACCGGATGTAATCGTTCCCGCGTGGAAATTTGATGACGGATCATAGGTGTACATGGATGGTTCCAGCGAAAAGGATGGAGCCGATGGATAACCTGAAATAGAATGGTCATGAAGAAAACGAAGACCCTTTTGAGGCTCATGTTCAGGTAACGACGTTAAGGTGCTCTTGAAGACATCGCCAGCGTGCTTTTCATTCCCTTATGACAGCAAGGTGAACCAAGGCGTCTGAGAGCGGGGCTACTGCTGATTACTACTGAGCTGATAATGTGGAATGCAATTCTAAAAATCCAGGTGGGCAGAAATGTGGTTACACTGAGCGAAGCCACTATCAGCCTGCTGTTACACTTATGATATAGGCACAAAACCTAGGATCTGGTAGTCCAAGAATCTGTGCCCAGTTTCTTTGGAGCGATTACCGGGCGGTAGACTCACCTAGGATAGTAAAAATACTCATTTTTTTCAATACCGTCTAACCAATAATTTCGAATGGCACTCATATGAGACGGTATATCCGCAGGATCGAACAGCACCAGGAAGAGCAGCACAGCAGCACTTGACATTCGTAGTAAAAGAGTTGGATTATAGTTTGGTTCCTCGAACCTATCGCACATATGGTCCGTG